AGTAGGGTACATTGAAGGAATCTAATTTTCCTTCATCAACCAGTCCCTACAAAACGGACCAACAATGAGAACAAACAAGCCTAGTTGAGTAAACAATCAAAATTCAGATTAAAAAAGAGTTGAAAATTTGGCATTTTACTTGTGAAACCAGGTAATATAAGGCCTCAGCAAGAATATCCCATGGGTAGCAGTTATCTTTGTCTATGGGATCTGCAGTTTGACATCCATTGAAAATCAAGACCACACGGCCATTAGGTGCCAGCTCTTGAGACAGGAGTTTCAAGAGAGAAGAGAAGTCTTCTTGGAACTGAGAAAGGTATGCCCTTGTCACAGCACGAGGGCTGGTTTTAGACTTGTAGATCTTCCCCTTGTTTAATGGTAACCCTGCTTCGTCTGTGATTTTTAGTGCCTTGAAAATTCGTCCAAAGTCATTAATCATATAGGTTGATGTATTTGGCAATAAGTAGTAATAAATTAAAGAAAAAGTGGCACACCTTGGAGAGCCAATGTACGCTATAACAAGTATATACAAGATGCATGGAGTTCCGAGGGAAAAGCCGGCCATGAAAGGAACTAGGAGCACCCATACCTACAATAATAAATTTGATTTAGTACAACACATTTTTAAAATGAGCTACTAAAAATATTTTTAATAATATTTTTTGGTGTTTTTTAAAATATTTTTATAGATATGATTTCATTATATAAATTTTTAGATGCATTGTAAATAAAATATTAATTATATTAATATAGAAGCAAATACACTCTTGACATAGCTGTTTTCTCCATCTCCTTTGTTCATGAACACCATATCCTTCACCTCCATTGTCAATTTTTTTTTCTCTGTTGGAATCTAAAGTAACTGTATTTCTTTGGAATTCTCCCAAGCACTTGAAAACTATCTTGCTTTGTGTGGTTTATATAATTACTAGCCCAAAGCAACTCGCCATTGCTTTGCTCGTCTCTGTATTGATTATGTGATATCCTGACGCTGGCAAGCTTTTTAATATTGCTTGACACAATTTCCAATACTCCCAGCTCATCATGCAAAACAATTCCACCACGTGAGCTTAATATCATCATGCAAAAAAACACAAAAACCATCAGTTGAATGGTAGCACACGTATCTTCGTCCCCGACACTTACTTTGATTTAGTTACAGGGATAACATACTTTATTTTTTCTCTGTCTGCAGATCTAAATTGATTTTGTAAATCCTGACATTTTTCAAT